ACTGCAGGTGGAGAAGCTGTCACGTATTACGCTGCACTTTCTTATCCAACTGGCGAAAAACGTCGACGATTTCATAGCCAATCATCCGTTCCTTTGCTGCCAGGAGTGAACAACCTATGCGGCATATTCGACGGTGTTGTTCTGATGCGGGATACTTGACTCAGAAATAGATTTTCGTTATAAATGGTTTTTTACTGATGCTGTTTCTGTCGGACACTGGACAGTACCGGTTGATAGTTGCGGTGGAGTGTGCTTCATCTTGAGTTATTTATTGTATAACGGTCGATCCTTATGTGTGTAACACTGGTTGATGTTTTCTCTTATCAGAAAGTAGTTTACATTTAAATATCATTATCGGCAGCTGTGTCCTGGATGGCGAATTATTTTCATTCCGAATGAAATCATAAAAAGGTTTTGAATTCCCAATTTATTTGAGCACTTAACAGGCAGCCGCTCCGGCCAATCCTGCCATCGATGGGCGAAAAAACCCGGAAGCGGTAGTGAAGACGTTAAACCGTTTACTGATGCTCAGCACATCGACGACCAATCGATTGAAGAGGCTCAGGTTATCCATACTGCAGTTTAAATCACCAGCCAAAAACGTTCACCTACATTTTGTCATCTTACACTCCATCGACTTCCACGAAGACGACAGCTAAAAAACCCACAAATCCCAAGAAAACTCAGAAACCTAAGAAAACTACGATGGTGCAGCTAGAAGCTAGTTAGGGGACTGTTCGACGAAGTGACGGTCGACAAATTTTCGTCGATGAAATCGCGGGTCACACAAAAACGAGACACAACGAACAACAAGCCGATTTTCCGACTGGTAAACGTCGATTTTGACTTGGCCGTGGTGTGACCATGTGGGAAAATAACGTAAGGAAGTACGTATAAAACACATCACGCCCTTCTGTAACAAACATCGGCTCACTGTCCTCAACAAAAGTTACATCCTACAGTGGAACAACGAATGTTCGACATTCTTTTGCCCACCCGTCTGTTAGGCTGACTGATCCTAATCTACCGCAATGTTCCATCAATGACATCCATGCAAAACGCGTGGCCTTTACGCAGCTTCTGTTTGTTGGCGGAAACAATGCCATTGCCTACTCGTAGTATCCAAGAGCTTGCAAAATCTTCGCCTGATTTAACGCACTCAAGTTTCGGCACATTGAGTTTCTTGCATGTCCACTTTTCAATATGGCTCCTGTTCAAAACATTGTTATCTTAAGTAGATTCGTTTTTGTTCTTGTCCTAGTGAAACACCTTTGCGCGGCAATAATCTAAAAAGTTATCCCGATTTCTAAGCGAGTCCCGTTTTCAGAGCTAGTAATTATTACAAAGAAGTAAGTGGACCACGTTTTCGACAACAAACTATAATGCACGCACCCGATCCTCTACAGAAATTCTCACGTTGCATTGTTGCAGCAATAACAGTTTTATTTTGGGATGAACTGACGGTTGCTTGATAAGTTTTCTTGCTATTTTTCTCTAATCCATTACGGTGGGAAAATAAGTACATATTAAATCATGTACAATATTTGCGATACGGATTCGGTTTATGATTGTTGTATGTAACCGCTACCGAACATAACAAAACAATAAACAGAAGTATCATTCAGGATAATCAGAAGGATCGACAAAATCAACAAAAATAATAAAACTAATTGAGATACAAGTAAAACAAATGTCATAATTAATAGAGATTCCACGGCCCTTTGCATAAACCTTCATGATCATATGCTTAGTAGTATAATCTAATCTTATATCCCCTTAGAATTTCGGGCCCGAATCTGATCGGTTCCAGAGACTCCTTCAAGTCCGCCACCAGCTGAATGAGGAAATGCAGTGCAGTGCGCGACAAATCCTGCAGCCGCAAACCCTCCAGTCCATCCACACACCAAATCTTCCCGCGGTAATACAACGAAGGACGGGGATCAGCTGTCTGTGTCGCACATAGGATCTGGAAAATTAAATCTATTTTTAGGTGTTTTCGGAATTTGGTTCAAAATGTTGACCGACATTTTATGGTGCATATGAAAACAAATGTACCGTTCTATCAGTTCACGAATACTGCCGGATCTAACCAAATTGCCCAGAGCGTATTAGCGTACTATAATTGCAGATTTTATCGAAAGGTAATAATATTATTGACTGCAGTTTCAACTTTCAGTAGCACTGTAATTTTTCTTATGGCACGTGTTTACAAACTGACTTTGACCGCTAAAACTTGAACGTTGAACTCTCCTCCATTATTTTCATAGTTTCGATAAGTGACTTTATATTCTTGCTAAGCCTACACTGCTACTAGCTTCCTCGAAGCGCAGACTAAGCAATTCAAATTGTGGTACTCTGTAGCAGCTTTATTTTAAAGCCAGCAAAACATCCATATCTTTCGCAGCACCTCACCTTGCCTGCTAATCGGGGAAATATCACGCGGAACCGAGCTGCTTCAGGTCATACCGCGTATCGAAAACCCCAGCCACAAATCTGCTGAGTGCATGCATTTGCTCATCACTCGGTACCGGCAAACCCGCTTCCAACACTTCCCACACTGTACTCGCGAAATGCCCGTTTATGTTCAATGACGCTCCGGACATGTTGATAATCAGGCGAGAAAAGTTATCCAGACAGTCGACGTACAAATCCGCATTGCATCCGTAAAACTGGATCGTGTCACAAGGAAGACGGGAGCATACGGCAGTGAAATCCCGGAGAAAAATGCTGTCTAGACTGGTCTCGCGTACCTCGCATTTCGCCGCGTTCGGATGATGCAGCGCACACTCGTCTCTGTCCATCATGTGGCTACTCAGGCAGAAATGGCATGGTACGCGCACTAGACAGAGTGCTGCCAAGGGGATGCCGGTGGTGCTCTGCGCCACGTGCTGCATTATGCCGATCACTTTGAAAAGGTCACCTACCCATTCCTCACGCAGCGAGGTCAGAATGATACGGCGCGTAGATGGTCGTAAACATCTGAAGATTGGAGATGTCAGAAGATAATCGTCCAGCTCAGAACTCTGCTCATCAAGGCTGCCCAGAACTAGGTTAGCTGTCAGCAAAGGTGACTGCAAGATAGAAGCCCAGGCACTGCACACCAGTTGCAATGCGTTCTGCGTCACGGTCTCCAGGAAGGAGAACACCTCCAGCAACAACTACACAGGCAGCACGTTAATGCCGTTCAAGGCTTCAAGCTTTCCAGGCGCCGTGTTAGATTTCTTCGTAATACGCGGGAGTTGTTCCACGATTACACGATGGAATTGTTCGATCTCTTTCTGCAAAGACATACCAACAAAATTATATTAATTTATAAAATTTCTTAAGAAAACCCGATTAAAATCTCACAATATGCGCGCATGTTGTCTGCTCCAACCGATTGCTCCACACTCGACGCATAATGTACCACAAAGATCCGTTCTTGACCTCCACGAAGCAGATTCCACGAGCGTTGGATTCGTTACAATACCACTCGTCATTGTCCAGTTCCTTTAACAGTTCTTCAGTCGATAATGAATCAAAATCCTTTGTCAACTTCCCGCTGCTTCTAATGAGTGAATGTCTGCCAACGTATTCCGCATGTTCCTCTGCTCCGCAGAAGGTTGATGTTGTGATTTGCTAACTCTGTCGTAGCAAGTCTTCAGAACTCTGCTGCGAATTCGTGCAATAGGCACAATGTCTGTGTGCGAGAAATCGTTGCCCCATTTAACTACCGCGGCACGGCATCGTACGGCACTTTTGCCGCGCGGCAAATTGATCAATTCAGCGGGAAACCACATCCATGGACTGGAGGCATTGTCGCGCATCAGCACTTCCACCGGTTCGGTCGTCTTCTGTTCAGCATTCAAATCTACTGCACTCTTTATGCGAGAATCCGCTGCTCTCGTTGCAAAGAAAACATCGCGACCAAGCCTTAGTAACGGGATGAACTGACGTCGTGCAGTGGAACAATGGAGGTCCACGAAGAATCCTCTGATAGTTAGGTCCACCACGTGTCCATACCGAACCAGACCATCGCAGCTGACAACATCCACACTGTTTGCTCGGTGGATTCCGCTGGACATAACGGAGGATTTGCGAGAGCTTAATAAACGTAATTTTATTAGTTTATGAAGAAGTAGCACAATGCAATAAAAACTAACGATCAAAGTAGACGTGAAAAAGGACAACAGGGTCACGCAGCGTAGCACCGCTAATATGGACCACCTGCTTTGCAATGTTGTATGCTGCGCTTGTCATCTATACATCGAAAGTCCTATAAGTGAAAGCCGAATGTACGACCAAGCCGTAAGCGGGTCATTGGAACTTTTGTCTTTACATATATAGAACAGTGGGCATGTTGGGCTGCCTCAGCCTGCCTGTACGATGTAGCCTAACAGCACAATATACTTCAAACTGCTGGCTGGGTCGGCCAGCTTTGTAGAGCCTTTTGCCGCCGTTAACCGTTTCAGTTTGCCCTTTTCAACTTGACCTTATGTTGCCTTTATCACCGTGAAAATTGTTACGTCCAAATTTATCACTGAAAAAAGCCGTTTCAAATGCACATTTACCGTGGGAATAAATTGCTGTCATCATATTGCATTTTTATGACAATTTCCCCGGAAGCTTGTTCTTTGTACTTTTTAATTTTTGCTGTACCGGTACGACAGTTAACGCTTCTTGTTACAGATACGATTACAACATTTGTCAAACTTGTTTTCAACATTGCCTTCTACTGCAGGCATAACCAGTTGCAAAGGTCACTTTGTCGGTACAGACATATTTCGGCACGAATCGGTATTTAGAAGCGTCACTAAGCATACCGTCCGTGACGGTGGTACTAGTGTACGTTGAAATAATTGCTGTCAATCAATTTTAAGGTTGTACCGAATTGTACCCATATCAAAGGGCATTCCGTAATCCGCAATGACAATTTTAAGTCTCCATATTGTTAACCTAAACTCCCGATTTCTTACAAGTTCAAAAACAATCGTAAGCACAACACCTCATACACCGACCAATCAGCCTGGGAACAAAAGAGCTTCTTTACATTACGGGATAAACCAGACAAAATGCTTTAATTTTAAAAACAAACACAACAGAAAGGTCAAAACTCATAGGCTTAACAGTGCATGGTGGATCGTGTACCACACGCGAAAAAGCAAGCGCTGGCGAATTAATAAAATCATTAATCTGTCATAGCCAGTCCAGACGAGTGGATGGGAGCAGGTTCTTCGACGCCGCTGACACATCGTAGGCAGTCACTAGGCACTCACTCCGTATCATTTACGCCACACACAGTAGGTGGCTTTACCCGATCGATGAGAAAGTACATCGCTATCCCGGACAGCTTCGTCAAGTCGATCCCTTTCAAACCGTCAAGGCACCATTTCTTCCCGCGATAATGCAACCAGGGCCGAGGATCAATCGTGTGCGTCTCACATAAAACCTGCAGAAACGTTAATTATATTTATGACAAGGATTTATTGGCCTGGCTACGGCCATGGTTTACTCAGCTGCCAACATCAGCGCGCTGTTCACCGACCTTGCAAACCATTTTTATACTTTCTTCGCCGGTTAATGCAGCGAACCATTCAGACACCATTCCCAGTTGGTCGTTGTTTGGTACCGCCAAACTGAACTCAAAGGCTTCCCACATTAAACTTTCGAAGTTGACATCGAGCGCCAGCAGCGGCGTGGTGATGCGAACAAGACGATCCTTACTATGACATTCTCCGAAGTCTTCGTGACCAGTGTCCAGAAACACGGACGAGTTGGTTAGCCGCAGTGCAGCGCATGGAAGACTTCGGCATCGGTCGACAAAATCATCAAGGTAGACTTCGAAACGATCGCCGTAGAGAACGATGTCTGCAGGGTTGATCTGATGCAGTTTACACTGGTCAGTATGACAGTACCCAGCAACCTGCAGGTCCAGACGAAAGCGCACGAAATTCACTGACGCCAGCTGGATGAGCGGATTGCGGGCTGCCACATAGTGAATCATGTCCAGCACCTTTAAAGCATCAAAATTATCACCGCTCCCGTAACACTCCCATCGATTAACCACAATGATGCGTTTTGTGGATGTCGTCAACCGAGCAAAGATAGGGGCTATCATGGAGTAAACGATCAGATCGTAGTTTTCCAGGTTGTTGTTCTCGGAGAGTTTAATTATAAGGTTGGACGCCAGCTTAAGCGAGTCCATGGTGTCGTTCCACGCCGAGCAGACGGCACGCAGCATGGTCTGCGTCAGTGTATCCAGCTGGGAGAACGCTTCCAACCATAACTCCATAGGCATCCACTTGAAATCATTCGCGTCATCCAAATCCAAAGAGGATGCAAAATTCCATGGAATATTTCGTGGTAGGTTTGTACCCAACCGAAATAAAAATTCGCGAATCTTCTGCAAAGATATGCCAAAACACGTAGGCTACAAATAAACCATCACTTGTACCGGTATTCTTCTTACCGATTCGTGATCACAGACAGGCTGATGCATGCACTCGATGTACCGCAAACGTTCACCCTCGATATCCACCAACGAAATCGGCCAGTCGCTCAACACGTCCAAACCCCAACCACCACTCAACAAGCGACGTAATTCCACCCCAGAGAAGTGACAAAATTCTTTCGGGAACGGCACGGTGTACTTTTTGAACGTGCCTTCAGTAACGCGCTGCGGCAGACTGCCCCGGCGACTGGGATCATCCACGGTGCCAAACCAAGGAATTTCTGGTAAAGGCGACAATTCCACAGCTGTCCACCAGCCACTCGGCACTCTCCAGCGAATTCGCTCGATTGGGACGATATCAGCGCGAGTTAAATCAGTCCCCCAATGGATTACAGCTATATTACACGAGTCAGGCAATAATCGATCACTTGCAAGGCCGATCATTTCCCCAGGAAACCACGTCCATGGTGAAGTGGGTGTTTCGCGCATCAGGACCTCCACAGGGACAATTTCGCCGACTGTATTAAATGTTAGGGTGGTGTCTTCTTTGCATAACCACCTTGACCCTTCTGTAAGAAAAACGTCGCTGCCATATGGAAAGAACTGGCGTCGTTGGCTGGGGCAGAGAAAGTCCACGAAGAACCCGTGATGAGACACATCTACCACGCGTCCATGGCGTACCAGTCCGCAGGGGTCCAGGACATCGACGCTGCTTGGTTGGTAGATTCCGCAAGACATGACGACAGCGCAGGTTGGCTGCGATAACAAAAGTGCACTACAGGGAATGCGAGAACAGCGAAATCGACAAGGTCTCCGAGGAAAAGAACACCATGTTTTGTATTAAGCGCGGATTACGGTATATTTGCTAGAACGCTAACGTGGTTAAAGTAAGTAGTACTCAACCTATATGGCGTACAAAATGCGCAAAATTAAAAATGCGCAAAAATTAAAAATACGCGAAGTGGTGAGTTATGAATGGTGATTAATAAGTAGTGAACTAGTGATTAATAAGATGATCAAAAAGGGGTGATCTTAATTAAATCGGTGATTTTTAAGTGGTGATAGAAAAAGGAAAATGACACCTCGCTGCGCACTTTGCGCTGTGCACAATAATACTGTACGGAATACGGAAGTCCATGTCGTCAGCTCAACCGCCCAGGTAGTGTTTACGACACTCCATCTGCTTTGATTTTCATACGGAGACTGTGACAGTTAATATTACTTTTGAAGTTTCAGTACTCCTTTTCCTTGCAGACCCTGTTTTTGCGTTATATATTTTCACGCCTCCTTAGAGTTTAGTGCGGTTACTTGGAGAAATTTGTAGTGTGGAACGTTAACTTCCGAAAACAGGATTACAGGAATACCATCGTCAGATCTTCTGGCATCTGTGCTGCTCTGTTGTGCACTATATATATTTCTTGTTTCGTAACAACAGCCATGGCTGGCAATCTCTACCGGCCAAACAGTATTGATATCGTGGGGGCTGACGGCCTGGTTCGTTATGGGCGCGTGGTGGATGTCACGGACAACGGGTTCTTTGTCGACTTTCTCTGTCCCAGCAGGCGACGCCGTTTCTTCCCTTTCGACAGCAGCGTTTTCCCGTCGGACATTCGACGGGTTTTTCGCCAGGACATTGTGGCCGATGCTTGGGCCGCGTCACAGGCACCTTCCCCCGCTCGTGTGGAAGTGCTGATGCGGGAGAGTCCCTCCGGTCCGTGGACGTGGTTCCCTGCTGAGATTGTTCATCCGCCGCGCATTGCTGACGGACCGCACCGACACTATCACGTCGTTGTAGTCCGGTGGGACACCTGCATTCATGGTGTGATGCAGTCGGATGTCGTTCCTGTTGAGCGTATTCGTTTGCCCATGCCCGTTGCGCGGTGGGCCAGTGCCAAACGACGACGTTCGGAGGTAATGCCGAATGAGCTGCAGATCGCCGCTCAGCGTGTTGGTAAGTGGACGTTTGTTAAGCGCAGCGTGAAACTGCCAGACAACGTTGCCTGGATGTCAGTGAATGAGCTACGTAGATTGTGGCATTCTAATGACGATGTGGTGAATTATCGGCCCATTACCTTCGTGGAAGTCAGAAATGGGTGTTCATATTATTTGGAGCGAAGTTTTGCCCACCAGTGGTATGAACAGATGGATGGGACGTTTCATCCAGAATTCCCGGTAAATTCGGCTTTCTTATTGTATTAAATAATCAATGAGCCCCTTCAAAAACTGTTTTTCTAAAGGGTGACCATATCCATATGTAGTTGCTCTGAAACATTAGTTTCGATAATCGATGAAATACGGCCACTCAGGTACTCGTACTGTGTTGCTTAAAAATGGAACGTTTTCTAGGAAACTATCCGGAAATTTCACAACCAGTTCATCGAACGTCTTCCGCGCATTATCGGGACACCCTTGATCAACACTACAGAAGTTAGGGACGTTTTCCCTTTGCTGCCGCCGGAGTTACTGCTGGAAGTGTTTTCCCATGTGAACACGATGACGCAGACAAAACTGCGCGCTGTCTGTCTCACCTGGGACTATATCCTGCAATCACCGCTGTTGACTGCAACCCTTCTTATTACCAGCTGTGAAAGCGTCGATCATCCCGAACGGCTTGAATATCATCTGACGGCGCCTGTCTACAAATGTCTGTCTGCCAAGACACAGCGCTTTATCGTGGCTGACTGGTGGAAACAAATCAATGTGCAGGAACTATTTAAGCTGTCGGACATGATCCGCTATATAATGGAGAATAAACACGGGATTGGATTGACCACGGTGTACCTTGTGGGTGTCCGCTTGTCTGTTCCGGTTAACGTGATGTATGCAGTTCATGGGGAGGACGACTGTGGCCTGCATCCTCCTGCGGAGGGTGCTGCGAGCAATGCACTACCCGAAGCGTATCGTCACTACAACGACGGTCATTTCCGGGATTTCGTTGCACTCTTTCGGCAACTTTGCTGCGATTCGGTACGGTTGATCTGCGGCACTATCGACGTGTTCATCAACGCAATGCCAGATCGACTCATGCGGAAATTGCTTCTGCGCATTCCGGCTGCCCTGCTGATGGTCTATGACAAAGACCTGGAGTGCGCAATGTGGGATATGCTGGAGCTGGGTTTGCCGCGAGTCGACGACGCGCAGCTGGTAACCTTGTCCGAGTTCTTGGTGTGGGTGGCCGCGGGGAAGAATGCTTCATCGGCAGCCGGATTAGCTTGGGACAGGACAGTGTGCAAGGTGAGACGGTTTTAGTCCAAGGGCAATTTTTATAATTATACGTACAGAGGGTAACTACAGATCCGTTTTCTGATTATCTTAAGGGAAGTGTGCCGGCACAGGGTACCATATTCGGGTACATGTGCTAAAACTTTGGCTTTCGCGCACTCCCAAACGCTTTTTTGCATTGCTTTATGACAGTCTATATCCAAATGATTTATATACACTGGCGTGAAAACCGCCTGTGTGCGCAACATCCGGTAGCGGAGTTATCGGTGTAACAAATAGCCAAAAGTTTAAGTTCACGGAGGTGTACCAAAAGTCTTATTGTAAACCGACCCTCTTCGAATTTTGTATGAAATGGTCTGCCAAGCCAGCCAAGGCCCTTCATGATCGGACTGTAAGGAACAACCGCCCGCGTTTAAACTTGTCCGTTTTGATTGACGTAAACCCTCTGTTTTGCGTACTACGATACATTTTGCAGGTACTGTGTGCAGCGCAGTCACCGGATCCGCGGCCGCAGTCCCACTACCCTGGGAGAAAATGGTGCGTGGAGGGCTTGCAGGATCTGCAGTTGGACAAGCTGTCCCGTATTACGCTGCGTTTTCTTATCCTACTGGCGAACTCTGCTGGAGAATGAGAATGATGTGCTTAACAGCGGTTGCAACGTTTTGAGCGGTCTTGAGTTTGTTGTTGTATCTGCATGATCAACTGCTTTTGTAGTTGACAAACTTCCATTCCAATCGTACTTCTTTTGCGGGTAATGATTTGAACCGCTAAGCGTGATGCACAGGTATTAAAATCTTTTGTCAGAGCTGTACGGTTTACTAAATCTTTGATACATATTATTATACCAGCAGAAGAATTGAATGTAGCGTATGGATCATCCATAAAGGGAAAAAGCAATCTGGACGGCAACGCAGGGTTGGTTATTTGCGCATGTGAAGCTTAGCTGAACTTTTTTACAGTTTTGTTATATGGTTTTACTAGAACCTTATTATACCGTACTTATCCGGATACTGCCATACATCCGTATAGATGGCTGATTCCTTTGCCAGTCTCCGAAGTCGTTTAACTCGTGTTAAGAAATAAATTTTGAATAAGCTCCTTAAATAAATGCGACTGATCTTTTATCATTATTTAGCTATTGTTTGCAACATTTAGGTGATGTTTAAAACTATGAACTTATTATAAGTAAGCTATTCCTGCTTTGTTTATTGTAAGTTTCAGTCCTTATAATTACGGGATGGACTGCAGTGGTAGTTACGACTACAACTCAAATAATTCTGCAAAGCTGCCTCCGCTCTCTACTGCAGGGTAACAGAATCCGTGGTTAAATTTTTTAATCCAGTGACCAGTCGAAGGAAATTTTCAGCAGGTGCTTCCAATACGATAACTTCGAAGGAAGCTTAACCAAGTGACCTATCATCACTAAACGAGTACGAGGGTTGTTAGCTATGTTCTGTCGTGCGTATATTAGTTATGAAACTAAAAATATGAAATTATTTTTTAAAAGTAGAGCATATCATAACTGTAATAGTGGGCTAATGGCCGACCCAGTGCCCCCTCTCGGTGGCAGTCAGCATGACTCATAGCAGGAGTCAGTGTTCCGAATTTTTAATTCCTAATTTAAAATGGCGTCAATGTCGAAGCGCGATTTTCGCGCTGTCATGTTCGCAAATTTTTTAAAAAAGATGAGCGCTATCCAGTGCCATTCGGAAATGGTGGTTTTATTCGGGAATCAGTGCCCTTCTTTGCGTACGATTGAGCGCTGGTTCTGGAGGTTTCGTGCGGAGAAATTTGATTTGGACGACGACTGCAGATCGGGACGGCCAGTCTCAGCGAGAACCCCGGAAACGATCGCCGCTGTAAAGCTCCTGATTGAGAAAGATCCTCATATAACGGTAAGGGAGATAGTTCAGGAAGTGGGGATTAGCGCTCCAGTTGTGGATGCAATTTTGCGTTCGGATCTTCAGCTACGGAAAGTAGTGTCCCGATGGGTCCCACATCTCCTCACTTCTGGTCAGAAACATTCTCGCGTGAAATTAGCCAAAGAAATACTGAAAGTTCTTTCGACCAAACGTCATTCCGAAATCTACACCGAGGATGAATCCTGGTTCGCGTACTACGATCCCAAAAGGAAGCAACAAAACATGGTACGGATGTCAAAAGGCAGCGCGAGACCCACCACAGTGAAGCGTTCTCTCAGTGTCCGCAAGGTTATGTACGCGATGGTATCCGGTAAAAGCGGGATAATTCATAAACAGTCCTTGGCAGCTAAAAGTACGGTGAACGCTGCATGGTACTGTAATAACGTCCTGGAACCTTTCTTTGAAAAGTTGCGAGAAAAACGCCCCACTAAAGGATTGACCGGTATAATTTATCACCACGACAACGCGCGTCCCCACACTGCTAATTATACAAAAAATTTTTTGACCGAATCGGGTGTGCGAATCCTTCCTCACCCTGCATATTCTCCTGACTTGGCCCCCCACGATTTCAAGATTTTCCCGAAACTGAAGAAATTACTGCGAGGACAAAAGTTCGAAAATAACGAAGAACTCGAACGAAACCTTCAGGACGCCATCGGTTCTCTTGATCGTAACTTTTTTAAGGCAATGTTTACTGAATGGATATCTAGATGTAGAAAGTGTATTGAGGTGGCAGGTGAATACTTTGAAAAGATCAAATGATTTGTGTGGATTGGAGATTAAATAAAAAATAGGCGACAGAACATAGCTAACAACCCTCGTACATTCAGCAATTCTGAGAGCGCACACACAGTCTACTTCCTTCCTTATAAGCTTCAGTGCAAATTTTTGTATTATGCACGATAAAAATTTTTTCGGGTTAGATACAGAGTACAGAACTTCAGACATCATTTATATGATTACTTACTTTTATCCTAAATAAAATTGTGCATGTTAAATTCATTTTTGAATTTTCTCACCTTTTTTTATTTATAAAATAGCAACGTCAAAGTCTCATTTGCGTCTGAAGCTGTTTGGCGTTGCACAGCCCACTGGTGTTCATGTTTTTCCCCTCGAAAATCCGATACGACTATTATTTCATGTTGTCTTCGGCAGTATAATGTGGTTACGCCCAAACAGCTGTTTGGGCCCTGCCTATGCCGATTCCACTTGGAGGCGATATATTGGCCCCATTGGCTCAGTGGTAGAGCATTAGTCTCGTAAACTAAGGGTCCTGGGTTCAATTCCCAGATGGGGCTAGTTTTTTTGTTTTTTTAGCGTTTAAATTTCAATAACAATTTGATTAGTGTACGGTACATCCGCGCAGGCTGATCTGATCTACGTACGTATCTGATTTCTAATGGCTTTGCTGAACAAATGAACTTGGCAGCGTGAGTCTGTTCACGTTTTTCCCCTCGAAAATTCGATTCGACCATCATTTTATTTTGTCTTCGGCAGGATTATGTGCGTTATGCTCAAACAGCTGCAGCCCAAAACACAAACAACAAATCATAAGTTCACTGATCATACAGCCTGGGAAACAAAAGAGCTACTCAACATTACGGGATAAACTAAACAAACTCTAGCTTTGATTTTTAAAAAAATGACAGAAATGTCAAATACTCATAACACTACAGTATGCTGGATTGTGTACCATACGTGAGAAAACAAGCGCTGGGGAATCAATAAAACCACTTTATTTGTCATAGCCAGACCGGACGGATAGGTCGGACCAGTTTCTCTACCAACGCTGAAACACCATAGGCATTCACTCTGTATTATTTGCGTCCCTCACAATAGCTGAATCCACCAGATCCATGAGAAAATACATCGCCACGCCGGACAGCTTGCTCAAGTCGATCCCTTTTAAACTATCGAGGCACCATTTCTTCCCGCGATAATGCAACCAGGGACGAGGATCAATCGTGTGCGTCTCACATAAAACCTGCAAAACGCTAAAATTAATATTAAATGGACTCATTGAACCTGGCTACAGCTGCGGTATCCTGGCAGTCTACACCAGCACGCTTATACACGGTTTCACCGACCTTGCAAACCATTCTGATACGCTCTTCGCCGGTTAGTGCAGCGAACCATTCGGACACCATTCCCAGTTGCTCGTCGCTTGGTGCAGGCAAACTGAACTCGAAGGCAGCCCACATTCGACTTTCGAAGCTGTCATTTAGCGCTAGCAGCGGCGTGGTGATGCGAACAGGACGATCCTTACGATGACATTCTTCGAAGTCTCCGTGACCAGTGTCCAGAAACACCGACGAGTAGGTTAGCCGAAGCGCAGCGCACGGAAGACTACGGCATCGGTCGGCAAAATCATCCAGATAGACTTTGAAACGATCGCCGTGGCTGACCAGAAATTCCGGGTTGACCTGGTGCAGCTTACACTGATGCTCGTCAGTGAAACAGTAGGAACCGATTTGTAAGTTGAAGCGGAACCACACGAAATTGATCGACGATATCTGGATGAATGGTTTGCGAGCTGTTACATACTGAATCATGTCCAACACCTTTATGGCATAGAAATTATCGTAACTCCCATATTTGTCGCATCGCTTAACCACGATGATGCGTTTCGTGGATGCCGTCAGCAGGGCACAGATTGATGCTACGATGCGATCTGATTTTCCAGGTTGTTATTCCCGGAAAGTTTAATTATAAGATTGGACGTCAGCATAAGCGAGTCCATGGTGTCGTCCCACGCTGTGCAGACGAGACGCAGCATGGTCTGCGTCAGCGTATCGAGCTGGGAGAACACTTCCAACCATAACTCCATAGGCAACCACTTGAAATCACCCGCGCTATCCCAATCCAGACAGATGCAGAGTGCATGGCCATAATTCGTGGCAGATTCGCACCCAGCCGAAATAAAAATCTGCGAATCTTCAGCAGCCAGAAATAAGTATGTGAGAAAATGCAAGTTACAGCAGCAGCTGTAACAGCAGTTATTAAGTTAATTAACAGCAGGAAACACGTCCATCGGGAGGGAAATTTAGGGGGCGGGGACTGGATTCACTCAAACAGGTGGAGTGCACCACCTGTTTGAGTGAAATCGAGTTACCTCCCGAATAGTGCCCGGTTATAATTTAAATTCGCCCAACCATTTGTCAGATATATCAGTAGATATGACAGATAATTCTTAAGGTTTATTTTATTTGTTGTCTTGTAGAGATTTATCAATGCAAGACACAAGGTTGATCCGGGCAAGAGTATTTCTTTCATAATTTTGCGGAATATTATACTCAAAGATTTAAGTCGGTTTTTGTCTTTCAGATGCTGCAACCTTTTAAGAGAAACAGTGAAATATGTTAACGGCAGCAATATCTGTACTGCAAAAAGATTACTCAGGTTATTTTAAGAATTAGTCTGAATTATTATAACTGAGAGCTATCTGGAGGGTAATTCGGTTTCACTCAAAACAGATGCAGTGCATTCGATATTCTTGCCTTTGTATTCCTCTTAACGATTCATGATCACAGACGGGTTGATGGCTGCACTCGATGTACCGCAAATATTCACCCTCGCTATCCACCAACGAAATCGGCCAGTCGCTCAACACATCCAAACCCCAACCGCCACTCAACAATCGACGTAATTCCAACGCAGAAATGTGACAAAATTCTTTCGCGAATGGCACGGTGTACTTTTTGAACGTGCCTTCAGTAACCCGCTGCGGCAGGCTGCCCCGCCGACAGGGCTCATCCACAGGACTTAACCAAGGAAACTCTGGCAAAGGCGACAGTTCAACAGCTCTCCACCAACTACTCGGCACTCTCCAGC